TGCACCGCCCCGGGCGAGTCTGGTCCGTCCGTGTTTTCCTGGACATGGCTAAGTGTTGACTGGGCCTCAGGGAACTGGGGTAGAAGTATCATCTTCGAGGGTACACCCGCTCCCAGTTAAAACAACTCGCCCCTCTGCGTACGATGCGCTGGTACTTTTAATAGCATGGAATTAAATAAGGAAAAATTCACAAAAACTGCCACTATGGAAGTGGATACACACGAAACTGACGAGGGTCTGCCAGTGCGCACAAACCGAGGCAGACTTCATTCAGCTCCGATTGGTAGCGGTCGCCCATCTCACGTTGAACGCTTGGGTGAAAAGATTCATGAACTGCTGGTTTTCATCCAAAAGAAGACAAATGTCCACGGTGATATAAGACGTCTAGCAGGTTCAATCAGTACGGCGTACAACCTGGCACTGAGAGATCTCTCTACCACGCTCGAAAAACCAATGGAACAAGTTGCGACGACGACTCAAACATCACCATGGATGGCGACAACTGCGCCGCCGTGCACACCCATAACAAGCAAAGTGGTAAAAGATCCCAAAAAAGGCAATTATCTTCGCCAAGCCCGATCTTATCCACTGAACGTCAAACCAAAAAGCCCACGCAAGAGGGCGATTGGAAATTAGTTGACCGGAAAAAGAAGAAGGCTCCAGAACCGCGCGAGAACGGTGCGCAAAAACGAACGGCTAAAGAGAGTCAAGAAGGCAACGGGCGTAAGGATGGCCCCGTGAAAGTGCTTCAGAAAACAAGGCGGAAAAAAGCTCGGACCAAGGCAATCCTCATAAAGCCTTCGGCTGGACAAACCTACGCTGACTTGCTAAAGAACATAAAAGGCAAGGTAAACCCCGAAGAAAGCGGAGCGAACATTAAGTCCATACGCCAAACAAAGGAGGGCGGAGTATTGCTAGAGATTAGCAAAAAGACCAATGATGACACAGCTTTCACGGAAGCAATTAAAACGGCGGTAGGCGGCTGTGGAACAGTCAAGCGATTGACGCCGATGACCACCATCGAAATACTTGATCTGGACGGAGTGTCTACCGAAGCCGAAATCCGGGAAGCATTAACGAGAGATTACAAAGAAAACCTTGAGATAAGGCGCGTGAACCTAACTAAGGTTACCCCTAGAGGTCAACGGGCAGCCTTCTGCGAGATCGATGAGGCTAGTGCTATGAAGGCCCTCGAAAAGGCCCGCATCAAGATCGGATGGGTGAATTGTCGCATTCGATTAGTGGCAAGAGTACCTCGGTGCTTCAAATGTCTCGGATTTGGACACCAGTCTCGCTACTGTAAAGGACCAGATCGGAGCAAATGCTGCTATAAGTGCGGTGGCGAGAACCACAAATCAGCAGACTGCACGGAACAACCAAAATGCTTTCTGTGCACTTCAAATGGAAAAGACAAAGATAGCGTGTGCCATATCTCCGGTTCGGGTGCATGTAATGTATACAGAGCCGCCCTAGCGGAAGCGACGAAAGCGCAGAAATGACACGAATACTTCAAGGAAACTTGAATAGATGTTCGCTTGCGCAGAACCTACTTTACCAGCGCGTAGCTGAGGACAAAATTGACGTCTGCATAATCAGCGAACAATACCAGAGCGCCTTTGTTAAATCATGGTACGTGGATAAGACGAGTACAGCAGCTATCTGGTTAGTGACTCGGAAGATACCGGATCTGGGGATGGTTATGTCTGGATAAAAACCCCTGAAATGTATATCATGAGCGTATATTTATCTCCCAACGAAGGAATCAGCGTGTTCCGCCAGAAGCTGACCAGCATCGAGAACACCATCTGTGGATTTAATGGCGAAGTCTTAATAGCTGGAGACTTCAATGCTAAGTTTGTGGAATGGGGCGCAGATTTCTCAGACACCAAAGGAAACGAAGTTACGGACATGGCAGCGAGGCTCGATCTTACAGTCCTGAATACTGGAGTGACGTCGACATATATGTGTATGTATGTATATATGTATATGTGTATGTGTATGTATGTATATATGTGTATATATACATATGTACATGTCCGTATGTATATGTTTATAAATACGTATTATTCGTATGTATATATGCATATGTGTACGTGTTTTTACATGTATATCATATATACATGTTTGTTTGTGTGTATATTTATGTATATATATATTACGCTTTTGTATCTTTGTATATATTTCTTTTTACTTTTCATTTCTCTTGTTTATCTATCTGTTAAGTATAATTGTTATTGTTATAATTATATTACTTATATCTATAGTTCTTTTTCCAATTTCTGTCATTTTTTCCTAGTTTATATTAATTTTTCAATATTCATTCTGTAGATCCACTGATGATGACATAAAATACTATGTCGAAACGTTTGGAAAAATTAAAGATTAACTTCTAAATCTTTGCCTTTTATTTGATGTATGCCCTTGAAGAATTTACTCATATATATATATATATATATATATATATATATATATATATATATATATATATATATATATATATATATATATATATATATATATATATATATATATATTGAATAATTCTGAATTTGATGTCGACATATGTATTAACAAAGTCTAGTAATAGGGCATAACATCAATTAAAAACATGAATTTCTTTCAAAAACTTATTTTAAATCCATACGTTTCGGCCATAATCCTAGTTTTCTTTCAGTGGAAACTAAAAACTAAAATTAAAAAACAAAAACAATTGAATTGGAGTGAAAAAATAAATAAAAAGAATAAATAGTACTTGCAATTAGTTAATCTTAGTGTTAAATTTTAATAATCTATGGTATCAAGATATGGTAATGCACTACATACTATGTATTATAAACATTAAACTGGTAATTACACAATATTTCCAAAAAATACTTATTTAAAAAATCACAAATAGATAGTGTGTTGTTCGTAGACTGGTTGAAGATATGATGGAAAAAAGACATTTTAAAAAATATTTTTACCGAAATTCTACACATGTGTGGAACGAATGTAAATCCTTTGCGCGACGTTTTTATTGTTTTGTGAGAAATTTGGAAATACTATCTTAATAAAAGAGATTTGTGTCGCACAGTTGTCGTTATAATACGCTAATTATTTCTTATTTTTATTGCATTAAACATAAATACTGGATGGAACCACACATTAATCATCAGTGCGTTATACCAAACTGTCGAAATTCGACACACACATAGAAACGCGTCGCCATTTGGCATAAAAAACATCTAGAAGCCTGGTGCGGGAAATTTGTTAAATCTTCAAGAATTATACAATAATAATTGTGTGTAAACTGTAATAAAATTAATAAAAGTTAATGTGTGGATAAAATATTAATTTGTGAAATTAAAAACGAAACTTTGTATGTAAAATTTTAGTGAATTAGAGAATCAATGGTGTATAATATGAAATAATAATTTGCTATAACCATAATAACATGGAAAATCGAGTGAACAAACAAGTGACCTCTTAATATCTCATATGATTAGTACTTACACACACACAAACTTTAATTATGGCACAAAAAGTTATATCATAAATATTAAATATATTTTAAATATTTTATATCCTATAATCATAAAAATAATATGTAGTCTGTAATAAAATTAATTATGGCACAAAATGTTATATTATAGATACTAAATATATTTTAGCTAGTCCGGTGCATGGCATCGTGCCTTAAAGCAAATTGCTGGAACTTCCCGTACCGTAATTAAAAATCTTGGTACGGAACCAAAAAAAAATACACAAAATATGTACACATTGATAAAATCTCTATAAAATATCTGATAATTTGATGTACATATGTCCAATAAACATTTTTGACCGCTAAATGATATTTTTTTTAACTTATTTTTAATGAGAGTCCATAACCCCTGGACCTGCCTTCCCAAAAATCAGTTAATCATCTTGTCAATACAAGCAAAATCTTTTTTGAATTATTAATATCAGAAGCTCCGTTCTCTTAAAAACTGAGTTACAGTTTTTGGCACTTTTTACTCCGTATCTACGGAACGGCTAAACCTGCCGCCGCCAAAAACTAATCAGCACGTCTCCTTATCAATACGAAACGAATGTTTTTTGAAATATTCAAATCGGTTGATCGGTGTTCCCTAAATCGTCGACAAAAATTTGTATCCGCACACACACGCACATATACTCATACACATACGCACACACACACACATATACATCCATTTTTTTCCAAGGTATGCCAGAATATTCACAAACCTTCGAAACGTAAAGATATATAAAAATTTTTATCTTCGATTTTTTTGCGATCACTGTAACTTGACTGAATCACATAGTCAAAAGTATTTATTTAAAGTAGTGATGTGCCAAGTCGAATCAAGTGATTCGAATAATTCGCATCAAGCCTTTAACGACTTGTCCAAATAAACAAAACACTTTAAACCCTGTAGCCCTGTCAACACAGAGTTTATCAGCCTTTGAAATGTGGCTGGTGCGTTTGACAAATCATATGGCATTCGTTTAAAATGATAGTGCGAAGTTTGAGTGGAAAATGCAATTTTAATTTTATCTTGATCATCCATTGGGATTTGATGAAAACCCGATGCAAGATCAAGCGTTGAAAAATACTTGGAATTGCCAAGTTGGTCAAGAATATCTGTTATATTAGGCGGTGGGAAAGAGTCACCTATAGTAATGTTATTTAATTTTCTGAAATCTACAACTAACCTCCACTTTAATATTCCGTTTTCAGATTTCTTAGGTACAATCAATAAGGGAGCGTTCCAAGGACTACTACTAGGTTCGATAATATCGCTATCAAGCATTTCTTTTACTTGTTTGTTTATTTCATTTTTGTGTTTTTCAGGCAATCTATAAGGTTTAATATTTACAGGAGGAACATTTGGGATAGTGCAGATTTTGTGCGAAACTGTATGAGGAAGTTGATCTCCATCGATATAAAAAATGTCATTATATTCCCTATTTGCTTTAAGATTGATTTCTCCTCTGTATTTAAATTTTCATGATTAACCTTATCTAATTTCATATTCATTTGTATTAACAATATTTACAAAGCATTTAAAATTATGGGGAGATACTAAGGTATTACTGATAAAAACGCCACTTTTCAATTCTGTTTTCTCTATAATTTCTGTATCATTAGTAAATGTAGACACCTGCACTACAGATTCAGTGCGTGGATTTAAACTAATTAGAGTATTTGCAAAATTTAAAGGCAAAGAAACCCTATTGAAATTAACTAAAGATTCTTTAATATTTATATTTCCATTGAATTCTTTCAAGAAATCTAATCCTAAAATACCCTCACCTCTAATGGGCACTGTATTATCGACTACGTAAAAGCTATGACTTATAATTCTATCGCCTAATCTAAATTTTATAATAATCCTACCTATTGCATTCACACTATTTCCAGATATACCACATAATTTGAGCTTATCCTCATTTGTGTGATCAATTCTTAAATCATTTTGTAAAACTGAAAGTTTGATAAGACTCACTTCTGCTCCCGTGTCTACTAACAAGTTTATACGATCTGTTATTGTACTCAAACATTCGATATTTACAAAAGCTAGATTCTGTTTGGAATTATTAATGCAAGAAAGGTGAGTAAGTTTTAGTTCACTTACGAGGCCAGAAGAATTTTCGTTTGTGTCTGGGAAAACTTTACTAGTACTAGGTCCACTTTTATCGATAGCCCTGTCTACGATATTAACTTTCGATTTAGATTGTTCATTATGGATACGCTTCCTACAATCAGAAATGCTATGCCCTAACTTTTTACAGTAATTGCATGTTGTCGGAATAGATTTAATATGGGATGTGGGACGAAAGGAATAGTTATTAGGCTTTTTAAAATTTGATTTGAAGTTTTTGGACGAATTTAATAACTTTTCTTCCTCAACGGCTGCCGAAATTGCTAATTCTAACGTCTTTAGTTGTTTAGCCTTTATTAAAAATTTTAAATCATTATGTAGGCCCTCTTGAAAAATATGTAACGCTTGATAATTAAGTAATTTTGAGCAATAAACATTGGAATCTGGTATTTCAATTTGTTTTATAGTTGCATCGATCAACTCCCTTAAAATATCTTGTAACCGTAAACCGAAATCCCTAGCACTTTCATTGAAACCCTGCCTAGATTGATTGAACTCAATTTGAAGAGAAGAAACAGACCTATTATCTAAATAAAGTTCTTCTAAAGCAGCTTTAAGCTCGTCAAAGCTTTCAAATTTTCTATACTGAATTGCCTGCATGGCCTTTCCTTTAATTTTTATATATAGAATGTAGTCTAATAATGCATCATGATCACTTAATTTAACAACTTTAAAGGCATATGTACAAGAACAAAAAAATTGATCAAGCTGTAATTTGCTTGAACCATCAAAGCAATCTATAGCATCCATAGCTCTTTGTAGTGCAGACATGTTTGTAACTTTTTTCAATAAGTGGTAACGAAAGAAGGAAAGGAACTCAGGTGTAATAGAATGTTTGGATATGATGATTAGCTTATGATTAAAGACTGAATTTAATAAATGTGGAATAAGGTTACCTGTTTCCAGAGAAACCTTGTAGATATGTCAAATAAAGTCGCGCAAACGGCTGATCACTCTTTGTTGTGGCAGTCTGAGGTTGGTGCAGTACTCCTTAACAAGCATAAATACCCTATATTATACAAATATTATTATTTATAATTTTGTTTACAATATATAAAAACACAACGTGGCAATAGATATAGTATGATAGAGTATTTTCATGAAATAGATTTAATAAATTTGCTTACAATATAGCATAAAAATAAAATTTGGTATAAGAGTACTATAATATAGCAAAAGTAAATACTTATTTTAATAAAATTGCTTATGATGTATTGATATTAGAATTAGAAAGTAGAGATAATATAGAATTTGAATATCAAAGCAAGATTTTGGTAGTTAAATTAGAAAAAATTTGGTAAGTAGAATTAGAAAATAAGTATTTAACATAAAATAAAGAATGAAATGTCTAGAACTTGGCAAAAACCATAATCAAATATAATTAAATGAATGTTACTATCTTTCCTTTGTGCTGTAATGACGGTCAGAAAAGACGCTTCTTTGTGTATGCGACGCTCCAATGGCGGATCCTTTGTCCAAATAGCTAGGAATGCTCTACATATGATGTGCGGCCTTGTGTCCAATTCTCGGGTTCGTTTCACGTTATATTCTTTGCTATCTGCGACGCTGTTGATTTTTCTTGGATTCTTGTTGTAAAATCACAAGTTTTTACCTCTCTTACAAGCCTGTTCTTTTTCGATTCACCGCTGGCCACCAATATGTTAAGATTTTTGCTTTAGCGAAGGAGGTATTTATAAAGAAAACTGTCAACTTTCACAAAGATATATTTCAGACAAACAACAATTATATTTAATATATGATTAATGCATTCAAATGTATGCCACTGAGGTTAGGAAGAGAATGCCGGCTTTCACATTATCCTACAGGCTCCCGTTCGAGCCGGAAATATTGCCCATAGAGCTCATATATAGAGCGGAATCCTGAAGGGTTGTAGTTCAGATATTCCATAGAGTGACGGTAGAGTCCATACAGCAAAGTGTTGAATATAAGGGTGCTGACACACAACACCATAGAGGGATGATGAGTCCATAGAGCATAGATAAGTGAATAATTGAATATAAGGGTGCTGGCGCACAACAGTTAGTTTCGAATATCATTCATAATCAGTATTATAACTAACGCGATTGAATAAAAGCCTAGTTTACATATAGGTTGATTGCTTCGAAAGATATACCATATCCTGCAATATTATAAAATTTAATTTTTATACTGCGTATTTAATGATAATAGAAGTAATTATGGTAAAGTTAAATTTTATTTTGTTTCTCTGTCTATTCTTAATATTTATTAGTTTTATAAGCCTTCATTATATATTATACGCGGTGTTAAATTTTTTTATATAGTTTTTATTCTGATTATAATTGTATATTTTTTGTAATTAATTTAAATAAAATGATGTGCAAAAACTATTTCGAAACGATATAACGTAATTTTATTGAAAAGTCGCTACTTTTTTTATAAAAAAATAAATACTAATTTATAGTCACTGAGTATTTCTATTAAAATTATTAACTTCCCGAAGGAGAAGTTTATGTTTTCATCAAAAAATCCGAATTGCTAAATTTATGTTTTCTCGACGTTTCAAGCCATTCTGAATCAAACGACACCAAATTTGGAAAAAGTATGTGTGTGTGTATGTGTATGTGAATAGATTTTTTGCCGTAAATCGACGTTTTCTCGAAAACGGTTGGACCAATTTCAAAAATTTAAAAGCCACTCGATGTATCTCGATGAGGACTATTGTCTGCCAGTTTTTTGCGACGATCGGCCAAGCCGTTCCTTTATAAATCGCAGAAAAGTAAAAAATTTTTCGTTTACGTTTTAGCCCGCAATTCTGAATCAATTTTGAAATTTCAAAAACCGTGCAAAAATATTGGTTGGGAATTGTGCTGATTAGTTTTTGGTAGAGATCGGCCGGCCGTTTTCTTGTAATAAAGTTTTAAAAAAAAATTGTTGACGATTTTTATGATTATTTTTTTGACGGTAGATACCATAGTCTTCTAGATCATACTAAAATATTACGGCCCTACGACAACTGGTTTAGCTTTAAAAATTCGTCAAAGTTTGCAAAAATTAGTATGGTCTTTTTGGCATTTGTCAAAATTAAAACTTTCATCGACGTTTGCTCAAAAACGCCTGAACCGATTTCTGATATTTAAAAAGCATTTGATGTATCTCGATGAGAATTATCGTTTCTCAATTTTTCGTTTTTTTTTTTTTGTAATTTGGAAAATAGTGTTAAACCTTTAATTTAATTTAAAGTTTAATAGTGTTGAATATCCACATTTAAGCTCATACTACCAAAACGACTTTAAAAAATTAAAAACTGTTTGAAAGATATTAGTTGGAAATGATACTGATTAGTAATTAACTGTTGAAAAAAATTTAGGCCGATTTTTATGGAACTTTTTTTGGCGTTATATATCATGTCTCACATATTATAGAACTTACAGAATTATTACGGCCTTAAGACAAGTAGTTTAATTTTAAAAAATTATCAAGGTTTGAGAAAATGAGTAGTTTTTTGACGTTTGTTAAAAATAAAATTAGATGATTTAGTTGGTATAACGATAGTGTACTTGGTCTTGAACATAGTAAACCATTAAAGTCCTACGGAAACTGGTTCAATTATAATTATTTATTAATTAAAATTATTGATTTTTGAAAATTTGCTTTTAGAAAATATACCGAGTCAACGTGTTCGTTCGTTCGTTTGCAATGATGTGTAATAAATCCACTCGGAATACTTTTAACCACTCATAAATTAATTTATTTTTTATTGACTAAGTCGATTATATACACATTTTGGGAAGTTCATGTAACTTGCCTCAAGGCAAAATACCAATACCAACTAGTTATATTTTCGTTTCTATATTCAAAATTTGATACTTTTGTTGAAAATAAGTACTAATTTATATTCATTAAGTATTTCTATTAAAGTTATATTTTCAATTTAAAATTAAAATCGTTCATGAAACCATTAAATACTTCTACTGAAAGTCGTCACTTTCGTTGATAGGTAATTATGTTTAATCGTCGATGAATCACTATTTTAATTCGAACCAATGATACTTTTGCAACTTCATAAAATAATATAATAATAATTCCGTTGAATGTCTCATATGTACCATTAAATTACATTGTTACTCTATTTCTAAAGTGAACAATAAAGGGCAGTTAAAAGCTTCAATTGAAATTATGATTTTAGGTAAATCCGTATATCCGTATTTAACAGCATCAAATACAGGCAGTAGAACTTATCATAATATTGTAATTCGATCTGTAGTGAGTTTTAGTTCTTTCGTTTGATTTTGATAAAAAGTATTGAGTTTGATACTGAGTAGTATCAATACTTTTGCCACGATTCTTTTTGGGTATCGATATTTTGCCTCGATTCTTTTCAGTACTCGGTATCGATACTTTGCCTCGATACTTCTAACACTAATTGTAAATAGATTGTACTGTATATATTTGAAATGATTACTTCCATATCTATTTAAACTGTACTTATGTGTAGTGTTAGAACGATAGTATCGATACTGAGTAAGTATCGATACTTTGACTTCGATACTGAGTACTTTTGGAATCGGTACTGCAGGCCGATTCTTTTGGCGGTATCGATACTTTGCGCCGATTCTACTCAAAAAGTATCGGCTATATTTTTCGACCCCACCAAAAGTTCGACCGCATTTTATGAAACCACTCATTATCTTTTGTCGCGGTCGCACCGCTCTTCATAGATAACGAACAAAACAAGCGATAAGTCGAGTGCGATATGGTTTTTGTGAAAGGAAATGTTTATGAATGCCCCCAGTTCGAAACCAATGATTAACAATGAATAAAAGAATTAGAGTTCAAGATTACATACGTCGATAATATAATTTTTGTCACCCCCGAGAACATATGTTTATCCACGATAATAAATTTTGTATATTATATGCAAAAATCTTGTTCTCTGCGAAATTATCACGCAAACGCAACCAACTTTGGTTGAATAATTTATTAAGACATTCGATTTCCGATCCTAACTTTTAAAGCCGACACTTGTTTTTTCCTAAAATAAATACTATTTTATAATCGCTAAGTATTTTCATTAAAATTATTATAATTCCGATTCTAATATTCAAAGCCGATACTTGTTTTTTCTAAAATAAATACTATTTTATAATCGCTAAGTATTTCCATTAAAATTATTATAATTACGATTCTAATATTTAAAGCCGATACTTGTTTTTTCTAAAATAAATACTATTTTATAATCGCTAAGTATTCCCATTAAAATTATTATACTTCCGATTTTAATATTTAAAGCCGATACTTGTTTTTTCTAAAATGAATACTATTTTATATTCGCTAAGTATTTTTATTTATATTTTCGATTCTCATTTCTAAAGACAATACTTTTTTCAAAAAATAAATACTGCTTTTTAATCATTAAGTATTTCCATTAAAATTATTATAATTCGGATTCTAATATTTAAAGCCGATACTTGTTTTTTCTAATATAAATACTATTTTATAATCGCTAAGTATTTCCATTAAAATTATTATAATTACGATTCTAATATTTAAAGCCGATACTTTTATGATATAAATTAGCCGATACTAAATTCACAAATGAATACTTTTGTCACAAAACAATACTATTTTTTAATCAATGAGTATTTTTCTTTGTGATATAAATTAGCCGATACTAAATTCTTAAATGAATACTTTTGTCACAAAACAATACTATTTTTTAATTAATGAGTATTTTTCTTTGTGATATAAATTAGCCGATACTAAATTCATAAATAAATACTTTTGTCACA